AAAGAAAAGTTGAATTTATTTATTTATTTATTTTCCCAGATGGAATCTTGCTCTGTCGTCCAGGCTGGAGTTCAATGGCACAATCTCATCTCACTGCAGCCTCCATCTCCTGGGTTCAAACAGTTCTCCTGTCCCAGCCTCCTGCGTAGCTGGGAGTATAGGTGCCCACTGCCATGCTTGACTGTTTTTCTCTTTTTATTTTTAGTAGAGATGGGGTTTCACCTTGTTGGCCAGGCTGGTCTTGAACTCCTGACCTTGGGTGATCCGCCTGCCTTGGCCTCCCAAAATGTTGGGATTACAGGCGTGAGCCACCACACCTGGCAAATTGCCTTTTTCTTAAGACAAGGAGAGTGACCCCCTTTTGGGCCCGTTTGGTTTCTAGATTGGAAGTGCATTCCTACGGGTCTTCTCTGTTGCTTTTTCTCCCAAAATTAAGCCCAGCTGGCTTGTCTGTGCATTTGCATAGGAAGTGAATTGTTGTTTTCATAGATAAATGAGAGAATGAGTTTTCTCAGTTCCAAAAAGAAGGGCATTTTGCTTTTCCCAGCTGAGAGGCGCCCTGGGTGACTGGGAAACAAGTGGGAGTGTCTTGGGGTCTGATCCTGTGATGTGCAACAGCCCTAGGGGGATCCCCCAGCACAATTAGTTTAAAAAGTCTTGTCCAGGAAACGCAAGTAGGAGCTGTCACTCTGGGGTTTTGAGTCCTCTCGGAGGTGCTGGACTTCCAGAGAGAGAAACTGAGACACGTAAGAGGGCAAAGATGACTCTGCGGTGACTCACCGTGGAGCCCCGCCCACAACCAGCACACTTCCACTGCCCCACTGAGCCCGGGGACACAGCTCAGCTCCTCTTTCCGAGAAAAAAAAAGTGGGAAATAAATCATCCAAGACTCAGGAAAGACAAGAGAATGGCCCCCTTTTGGGCACCTTGCTGGTTGTATGGTGCCTCTACTGGCAAGTGTTTGTATAAAACTGAAAAATTTGAGGGCATGCCAGGTTGCTTAGGGCCCAGCTGGTTCCATATGATGGTCTTTTTGACACATTTTAAACTGATGGGCAAATTCCATCCAGGAAGCATTCAGAGCCCAAAGGTCAGCCGGCAACTACAGAACTACAGAGTTCCTGGCCGGGTGAAGTGGCTCACGCCTGTAATCCCAGCACTGTGGGAGGCCAAGGCAGGTGGATCACCTGATGTCAGGAGCTCAAAACCAGCCTGGCCAACATGGTGAAACCCTGTCTCTACAAAAACACAAAAATTATCCGAGCATGGTGGCACCTGGAACAAGGAACTAGGAGAGAGACCAAAAGAAGTTATATAAAGAGGTATTTTTGTTAAGAAACGTTACAAGAAAAATAATTTTATCTGAGAAAGAATCTTGTATGGCAAACTTCTGTCCCAAAATAAATGACTAGGCTGGGTGTGGTGGCTCACTCCTGTAATCCCAACACGTTGGGAGGCCAAGGTGGGAGGATCACGAGGTCAGGGGTTCGAGACCAGCCTGGCCAACATAGTGAAACCCTGTTTCTATTAAAAATACAACAATTAGCTGGGCATGGTTGTGCATGCCTGTAGTCCCAGCTACTTGGGAGGCTGAGGCAGGAGAATCATTTGAATCCAGGAGGCAGATTGTGGTAAGCCAAGATTGAGCCACTGCACTCCAGCTTGGGCATAGAGCAAGACTCCATCTCAAAAAAGATAAATAACAAATAAATTACTGGTTGTTTAAGAAAGAGAGATGTTCAGGACAAATTAGAAAGTTCAAGCATGTCATAAATTGTGTAAGTCATAATAAGTTCAGTAAAAAAGGAATTTATAAAAATGTTACATGAGCAGGGCGCAGTGGCTCAAGCCTGTAATCCCAGCACTTTGGGAGGCCGAAGTGGGTGGATCACGAGGTCAAGAGATCGAGACCATCCTGGTCAACATGGTAAAACCCCGTCTCTACTAAAAATACAAAAAATTAGCTGGGCATGGTGGCGCA